CCCGCATGAAACATCGCTATTAGTTTTTCACCTCTCTGGCCACTTTTATATTTTATGTTTACATAAGCTCTCTCCCTGATATTGACGTTTACCCCATAGATCTGGCATACCTTACAGCTATATTTTTATTATATAGAAATATAGAGAGAGAAAGAGAGAGGGAGAAGGAAGCGGTACAGTTAATATATATAAAAAAAAAAGTTCAAACGACTTATCTTTCCGAATTTAATTTATGCAGAATAGATTTATCTAACCTTGACGAGCTATTTATCAGCGAATATTGAAGTCGGAAGAATAAGTCCTTTGAACTTTTTTTAATTAAATATTAGTACTCTATTTTTTTAATATTGAGCACGCGTTTGCGATCTTTGATACTTTATATATATATATATATATATATATATATATATATATATATATATATTTGGAGTTATATAAATATCGAGTCTTTTTGTCGATATTCAGTATGTTTAGTTTAGTAAGACACAAGGACAAATTGGTTTCAGAAAGCGATACAGAATTATGTTAATTTTTAAATTAAGGAAGGGCTGTTTAGAAAATCGGCATTTGAAATTTAGTATTTTATCTAAGATTGAACACTGACCTCTCGCATCAGTAAAAAAAAACAAACAAAAAAAACATATTTACGGCCACGATACAAATCTCCATCAGCCCAGAACATGTAAATGATGCGATACTCACGCAGAACGAATGTCTTGATACGTTGTAAGCGTAGCCACATTGCTTTCATAGCGAACTGAAAGAGGTACCGAAATGTTTATGGATAAATATCCCGATATCGATAGCAAAATATGGCAAATATTTTTCATAAGTAATTAAATGAGAAGCGTGTTTTTAATATCTGCAACAGAATAAAAAAATCAAATTTGAATTGCTTAGAAAAGTAATTGAATTGGCAACAATACCAGAATCTGCTGATAATCTACTGAAGCGAATATGGAACGCTTTTTAAAAATACCATTTCCCTTCAAAACGTAGGAGATAGTCGCCCTCTACAGATTCCTTCGTTTATTTTTCTTTTTGCAATCCTCGAAGACCTGATTTCTTGCAAAAGATAGTCGAGTGGTTTCCCGTTGCCTTCTCTAAAGTTTGCAATACAGAGTAGAAATTCTCCTAGACTGGTTGCCACCCAAGGTTAGATAGCCGAAACTACCCTGCTATTTCTCATACATGTGGGTGCTGATGAGATGTGTTCATGCCTTCCCCAAGGGCATTTGTGCGAAAGTGAACGCAACAGACAAGGCCAGAAGTTGAACTCAATTCGCCGATTTCACTTTCTACTCTGCTAGCCATTACGCTACAGGCACCTCCTTTATGGGACGCTGAAATGAACTAAAAACAAATGAATCTGCCGGTGTCTTACTATATCTGTTCACCATTTCGCTATATATCTCACTCGAACTTAAGCTTCCCTGTTAATAAAATTCTAAAGAAATCTAATTAAAAAAAAGAAATAAGTGCAAAATGAATTCCGAATATTTGTGTAAATAGCTCTCCACAGCTTCATTTTCTTTAATGTCCGCAAATTTTGTATTGTCATAACTTTACTTTGGAAAGGTAGTGGAATGGTTTCCCATTGCCTTCTAAAGGGTTTTTCAATTTAGAGTCATCCTTAACCTAGTTTGGTTACTCTATCAGAGCTAAATAGCTCAGTTTGCTATGCGATTTAACCCATAGTTGATGGAGTAAGGGTGAAGAGATGAATTCATGCCTTTTCCAAGGGCATTATAGCGAAGGAAACTGCGTCGGGCGGAAATTGAATACAGTTTACTGATTCAATTCTTCGCGCCAATAACCGTCACACAACCAGTAGACTCTGTTTGATAATTGCATTCTCTAATTATTCAAACAAAATATTAATAGTAATTAAAATAGAAATCAAATTGACGATAAAGATAATATTTCCTCTCTTTTTAGGGCAAAAATAATGGGAAATAGAAAAATAAGAAAAATAAGTGGAAACAAAAATTTTTCGAAACAGCACTAAAAAGGCTTCATCATAATTACGTAATTCAACACATACCAAAATTGACAGGGTTAAAACTTGCAATAAGAATTTAGACTGATTGATTTTTTTACGGCTTATCAACCCATTGTTGGTTATTTAAAGCTAGGATTGTAATAACGTGTTTTGGAAATATTAATTTAATGATTCAACGCTTACTAATTAACCTATAGCTGGAGGGAGAAGAGGTGGCTTCATACGTTTCCCAAGGGTAAGTGAATATAACGTACCCAACTGGAATTGGAACTCGGCTCTCCGATTAACAATTCCGAGTCATTATCCATTACACCACCCCCACATCCAAGCTTACAGCACCTGATATTTCTAAGCAGTCACTCATCTAGGCTCGACGTTGCTTAACTTCGATGATCGTACGGGAACCGATGTATTAACATGATATGGCCGTAAGTAAAAGTAAGGACCTCGTTTAAAAAACAAAAAAAACAAAAAAAAAACATTTACAAAATTCCCGATTAGTAAAATTAAAAAATGAGTTGGTATTTTTTAAAATCGAAACCTACTATTAAAAATGTCATTCAGGGCCAAAGAACTTTGATAATTTAAAGTTGCTTATTAAGCTTTTATCTGACAGCAGGGGTTACTGAGTGAGGATTTAAGCGGATTCCTTTATAAGATAATCTTGTTACCCATTTATCTGTGTTCATCTAGGTGTCTTTTTAAATCATTTCACCCCGACCGATTTCTCAAAATAAGACCAAATGACAAGAAATGAAATTGTTCTTGGAAGGACTTCTTCGTCGAGCCGAAAAAATTTCAGTAATCATATATAATATCATTTTAATAACGAAAAGAGAAAAATTGATACAGTTTAATATTTTAGTGTCCAAAATAACAATAGCTAGTTAGTTTTGTTTAGATTCTCTGCCTTAGTTTAATATTCGGTAAGTTTTGCAAAGACTATCTCTGCGGATTAATTCCGTCCAAATTAGTAATCAACTCAGATTATCTTGTAGAAACTAACAGACAAAAATTGCTTGCTGTCGACTGCTGGTTTTATCAAATTCTCTTAATAGGTTGGCGTGATTTATGACTATTTTCTAAGCATAGCTTAGATGTGGCACAAGGCCGAAAGTATGGGGCACCTAGTGAGGATCGAACTAACTTTTCAGTCATAACTGATCTAGCGAGACAAGTTTGCTAACCATTACACCACGCCGAGGTGTCCTAGGTTGCTGTGATTTATGTTACTGTCTGTGTGTCTATCTTTGTATCTCTTCATGTGCCATGTTTATTCATGATATAGCTGATTCAGAAATCTCAAAAGCTTCCTGTTTTTGTCACTCTCCGCGATATTTGATCTTTCACAACTGCTTGATTTTGTGACATTTACTCCTTCATTCATTTGCTTAATAGCGCAAAACCTGCCTAACGGGTTTTGGAAAATGGACGGCAAAACAGAGTTTAGGTGAGATAAAAAAAAAAAAGGTAAAATTTACTAAGAACTACAAAGGACAAGAAATCATGAAGAGCCATGACCGGCATCATCCTGAAGGGACACAGTATATAGAAAAAGATTAGCTGTTTTCTTCGACTGATCTTGCTTCGGATGTGTCCTGTGAGTGTTAGATTTTCCAAGCCTACTTTTCTTATTATGACTCCAGTATCTCTATGGAATTGTTAGCATCAGGGTCTTTGTAGCTCTTAAGCCATGATCTCAACATTCTCACATTATAAATATTCGCTGGTAAAACCACTGGTAGCTTGAAAACTTACGCATTGGCAGCATCAACTCTTTCCTTATTCACCGGGAAATTGGACATAAAGGAAGGTAGATATTACTTTGTAAGATTATATTTCGCTGTTAAATGGCAATAAAATCTGTTTATATCTTTTACTGTTTTAAACACTTTTTTTACTTGAATACAGTAGTCAATAAATTGATACACCCCCATTGATTAATTGATGAGAGAAATATTTACCAACGATTGTTTGTTGTTCGATGTTAATGGAATAAACTGATTCAAGCTGTTACGATTTTTTCGAGATCTATAGTCGACCTATACACGGGACCTATGATAAATTATTGGTTTCATCGTCCTGGATCAAGAGTTGATGTATACATAATGCCAATAACAAATTACTGATTTCTTAGAAATCAACAGTCGATCTATACTCGGGACCTATGATAAATTACTGATATTTTAAAGCTCATGAGTCCTCTCAATAAAACACTGTCGTCATCCATTACAAATGAAAACACGAGATCTCTCATTTTGCCGATGGAATATACTTTTCATTGTTCTTATTTGAAATCAGAATTTCAGTGATGCATCGCGAAATATAGCACTTGCCTCAATTGCTTTTGTTTAACGGCATATCAACGCCTCTATAGGTTATTTAATGCCGAAATGTAAATATTCTGTTCACTTTTTTTAAGATAATAATGGTTTTAGTGATACAATTCTTACAATTTAATCTATAGCTGGAGAGTGAAGAAGTGATTTCATACCTTTCCTAAGGGAATTTGCTCGTAAGTGAATATAACGTTCTCAACTGGAATTGGAACTCGGCTCTCCAATTAACAATTCCGAGCCATTATCCATTACACTACCCGCAAATCCAAACTTACAACACCTCATATTCCCGAGTGGTCACCTATCTAGGTACTGACCAGGTTTGATGTTGCTTAACTTCGGTGATATGGCCGTAAGTAAAGTTTAGACCTTCCTTTAAAAAACGTCATTTGCAAAATTCTCAATTTGTAAAATTAAAAAATGAGTTGGTATTTTTCAGCACCAAAAGTACTATTAAAAATGTTATTAATGGCCAAGGAATTTTAATAATTTAAAGTTGTTTATTAAGATTTGTCTGACAGAAGGCCATAGCAGGGAGTACTCTATAAGACGGGCATGTTAACCATTTCTCTGTCTTCCTTTCTTTTATCCATTTCACACTGACCTATTACTCAAAATAAGACCAAATGTCGCATTACACCACCCGCACATCAAAGCGCACAGCACTTGGAATTCCCAAATGGTCACCCATCTAAGTAGTGGCCAGTCTTGACGTTGCTTAACTTCGGTAGATCGTACAGGAACCGGTGTTTCAACATGATACGACCGTTACACTAACTGCTTTTGGAAGACTAAAGGTAAAAAGATCTGACAGAAAAGCCATTCCGTTAAATATCAAATATAGATTAATTGATTGACTTGTTTGTTTAACGGCATATCAACTCCTTATGGGTCATTTAATGCTGAAATTTAAACTTCTTGAGTGCTTTGATGTAATTTCATAATTTTACTATGAATAGGTATTGTTGGTTATTTTACTATATGTGTTGTCGGTAAAATGTATTACTGGTATTTTTACTATAAAAATGTACTTTTTATATATTAATAGTGTTTGGTTTTGTTTGCGGGTTCAATATTTGCCCATAGCTGGAGCCCTAGCAGGTGCTACTACCCCGGGTCAGGGTAGACCTGGGAACAATAGCAATGAAGAAGGGGTTACATGCTCTGCAATACCTCAAAAACACCTTCAATCTCCTGATCAGAGGCCTTGCTGCCGGGTGAAGTTTATCGTCATACTCAGGACTACATATCAAGATCAGACTTTACAATGTCATGATCATTTCCAGATCAATCTATGCCTATGAAACCTCGACAGTGAGAAATGAGGACATACAATGTCTTTTTGACTTCGAAAACAGTTGCCTTAGAACCATGGCAAAAAAAAAGAAAATATCAAAGGCAGAATCAAAATGGCGGCCAAAAAAGGAAAAAGAAGGAGCTAGATTTTAAGACTGACATAATTACCTTGATTAGAAGAAGAAAGCTAAACCGGTTTCTTCGTGTAATCAAATTCGCAATATTACATAAGATAACGTGATCATTTTCGACATTAGATGACTCATATAAAGATGATCATAGACCATTGCGCCCTTTGAAACGGACATGCGCAAACGATAACTCTTTAGATATAATTCTTGAGATCAGGATTACCAGATTCGATTACTTTTGAAAGTCCAGCGATAATTTCATTCTGAATTTTGCTATTTGCAACTTATTGGTCTACTTTAAATAATAAGAAAAAATAGCTGAGATAGCTTGAATAACAAATGAGAAGAAATGCAATTCAAAATTCGCGAGATTTCAAAGCAGTTGTAAATGAAAATCATCGGCAAAGAGCGCGTGTTTACAGGGAAGGGCGATTCGTATAACCTTTGCCTGAGTGAGAAATTAGCAATTCTAAAAGACATGGGTGATATCAGAATGCCCAATAAAAAAAAACAGCCGCTCGTAGCATCTTTCAAGCATGTCAACAAGTTTCTTATGGGAGACGTCGGTGGAGTGAAAATATAAAACCCACCTGCCTCCCCTACAAGGCTAGTCATCCGAGTGACTGTGTGAATTTGCCGTATACGGTATGTTGTACAATATTTGGTATCCACCCCGCCTCTATTTACCCTCCCTCCCGATACCATCCTTAATACTATTATTTGTATTATTATTATTATTATTATTATTATTATTATTATTATTTCACCACAAGCAAGGCGGGAGTGCCATTATTATGCAGGGGCTTAGAGAGAGAGAGAAAAGAATGGGTATAGGGAGGGTTGAGTAAAGAATGATTGATGATAAAATATGAACGGGATTCAAGAAGACAGCTGGCGATTGATGTTGCATTTAAACTTTTGAAGACTGTAGTGGTTCTATAGAAGGATGCTAAGGATACCATGGGCCAAAGATGTGAGCAACGACGAAGTTTTGGAGAGAATGGAAATAAAGAGGAAACTCATACTTAACACCAGGAAGAGGCAGCTGAAATTTCTGGGAGACGCAATGAGAAAGGACGGCTAGGAAAATCTGATAGCCACAGGACGGATAGAGGGAAGAGGGAAAGGGGAAAACAACGCGTGACATGCTTAATGGGTTTGGGCAAGTAGATGGCATAACAGTCTGAGAGAAGTAACAAATAGACAAAACTTTTTTCCTCTTATCCTTTTATATATATATATATATATATATATATGTGTGTGTGTGTGTGTGTATGTGTGTGTGTGTGCGTGTGTGTGTGTGTGTGTGTGTGTTGGACTGACAAAATAAGAAAACTTATTTTTGTAACATATTTCGTTCCTTCAGGAATTTCATCAAAGGCAAAATGAATTTTTGTAATAATAATAATAGTTACGATTATTATTACAAAAATTCATTTTCTATTACGAACAGTACAATAATTACATCCCTTGACGTCCGCCATGATTTCTTTTTTTTTCTATTACGTTGTAATTTAAAAAAAATATTTTCGATTGTTCTAAATTTGAATTTGAACACATTACATTTTAACCGATCGGTTCTATGCCTGGGAAATACTCTTCATCCACACGGGCCCCCGAGAGGAATGTGACGCAAGGTTGAGTTTAAAGTGGGATAGGATCCCATGAAGGCAAAGATTAGTCAAGTCCCATCGGCACTTCCTTTGTAAGGGACGCCTCAGGCGCCAGGAAATGACCGTCTTTCCCTTTCAAAAGAAATGCCTGACTGGGACAACGCATTGAGTATATATTAAATTTTAATAGGAGTTCACCTATGGTCCTGTTCATACTCCTCCCTGATCTTTTGAACAGGGGTAGTGTTTTATCCCTTATTTCCTGTTTAGGATTGGGTTTCTGTTTACTTCTAAAATCTTTTCATTCTATTTCACTTCCAGCAGCTACTTGCATTTTAGTGGTATTATCGCCTTGCTTCGTGTGAATTGTAAAAAAAATCAAAAAATAAAAGTACGTGTCTTTGATTTCAATTTCAAATTTCTGAATGTGGTATTCCTTGCTTAGAAAAATTTTTGAACCCTTTTTTGTTTTGATAATTTTTACGACAGCAATCAAGAGCTTTATCGTCAAACCCATAATGGCGCCACCAAGGAAATACAAATTCTACAGGAAAAGAGATATGAATTCTAATATCGTTGCCTGTTTATTTCTTCCTGTTATTCTTTGTTTGTCTAACAGTTCATATAAAACGATTTGAGAGTTGCGATAAAGAGCAACACAAATACGATAAAAGAAATATTAGTTCAAAATGATTAAATCGGGCAAACATTAGTCTCAATATGTGTCCATAATAGACCTTAAAAACCCAGGGACAACAGAAAGTTGAATTTTTCTTTTAAAAATCCTTAATATTATTTATTTCGATTTCTAATACTGACATCTACACCAAACGTTTTATTTTTTTGCATACATCTAAAGACTAGATGTGGCTTCAGTATTTTTAATGCAATTTCCCTTCAGGATGTTGAGAATCATGGCCTTCCCTCTACTATCACTCAAACACCATGCCGGCGGAGGGGAATATAGTAGAGTTGTTTCCCGTTATCTTCTCTACTATTTGGAATATAGTTTTCATTTTTTTAGATTGATTGCTACCCAAGGCAAAAATCTGCCCTACTCTTTAAAATATAGCTTCTAATAAGGGGGAAGAGAAGAGATGGGTTTATGCTTTTTCAAGAACGCTTGTATGAAAGAGAGGGCAATAGGTTCCATTATAATATCAGGATACTAGTACTTGGTCAGATTATCACACCGATGCAGTGTTGATTTCTATGTCCACAATTCAACAATTGCTCTGTCTCTCTGTCTGTCTCTCTGTCTGTCTGTCTGTCTCTCTCTCTCTCTCTCTGATATATATATATATATATATATATATATATATATATATATATATATATATATATATATATATATATAATTAAGTAATTCATCGAGTCTAGAAGAAACCTCAACAGAATGCAGTCCTATATTTGGGACTCATCAGCAGTGCGCATCCACTACCGAGAATTGAAACCCGTTATCAGGCAAACGTCATACCAACTGTTCCAACGGGCCTCGGTGACGAAGAGGTAGCGAATTAGACTCAATATAGCCCCGCTCGATCACATATTCCGTGGTGGAACTCATCCGAGTTTCTCTTTTACCCATAGGATTGTTCCCCCACGAGCCACGACTACTATCCACAAGCCAGTCAGCCCATATATATATATATATATATATATATATATATATATATATATATATATATATATATATATATGAATAAATATAGTTTTAAGTTATGCTATATTATGGGATAAAGTGCTCAATATGCATATGCAAATATAAAAGTTAACATTGAAGGCAACACTCAGAGGCGACGGACTGTTCCACGCTAAACGCAATCATCAGGCCACATGCGTTGTATTTTTTCCGACTGTTTATATATACAGGTCAGTGGTCAATTGTGGGTAGTCTAATGCATTATGGATAGTCTATTCTAACGGTTATTTTGGTGGGAGTGATTTGTTAATTTTTAATTATTTACCTAATTTATTTATTTGGATTAATTTATTTTACTTGTTTTTGCTTATTTATTTTTATTGTTATTTTTATTTATTCTTTTCAGTTTCGATTTTTAAGTAATAAAAATATTTTATCGTATCTACATTTTGAAATAAGTTCTGATCGTTTATTTAGTAGTTTGTTATGGTCTGGGAAAGTAATTATAGCCATTTTTACTCCAAGCAGAGTTTGAAGGTTTGGATTGATTGTTGTGGGTTGGTGTTCTTTTCTTTATTTTCAATGATATTTTTGTTGTGATTTACTTTTTGTTTTTAATTTCCCGGATGTATTGGAAAGCATTGTGATATTATTTACTATTTTTGAAAGTTTTTGTGTGCGTAGTTTTTTGATTCCAAGATCCTTCAGTTACTCCTATATATATTTTTCTTCATTGTCTGATGATTTTACAGTGGCTTGGTATATTACATTGTTTCGTAAGAAATTGCCGTTTAAGGAACATTTGTTCTTTATTCTACAGTTACACTTGGGTTTAATTTGTACGGGTGGTTTGTTAGATTTCCTGTTGTGCTTTTTTATTATTTGTGTCATATTCTCGGTGCACCTGAAGATGATTTTTACTGTGTTTTTGTTGAATATTTTGTGGAAAGTGCTTGATTCAGCGAAGTGATTGTGTAAGAGTTTTTTTTAAGTTTTTGTTATACGGTGGGTTGAACTATATGATATTTCTCTTCCTGTTGTTTTTTATCCTCTGTGGTATGTGAGTGTTGTCGGGAATCCACTGTCT